ATGCGAGGGTGCAGTCGGAGAACAAGTGCTGTTCAGTCTCTATGGCGTTGCACCCATCAATAACGCAATTTTGACTGCCTCATAATCCAAGATCGCGGTTTGAAAATGCCCTATCGATATCCATGAGTACCAGAAATAGCCAATAAAATTTCGTAATGATTCCAGGGAGCAAAATCTCTTTGGAATCCAAGTAGCAAATTTGTTGATATCCAATTACCACAAGTCTGTTGATGGTGCTGTCCGAAGTAACGTTGATTATGCAATATGTACTTTACAGCTAGAGGGGCTCTAGCTCAAAGTTGCTTTGGTGAACTGTGAGCATGCAGCACAGTCCAACAGGTTTCGGAAGCGACCTTATTCTGGCTTATGAGCCCACTGTTGTGCGACGATCAATTCCGTGCTAAGCTAAGTAATTCTCATACGCTTCAAATTGCTATTTCCCGTGATTTCCACTAGCTGTGCTTGTTTTATGCTACAAGTTTTTATATTGTTATTGACTGGACAAATTACAACAAAGATATGCACTGCAATATCGTTAATTAACCTCTAAAAGTAATAGTACTCTGAGCTCTCCTCCGAGGACAAACAAGTTGGTATGGCCGAAAATGCCACTGTGACGATCAATTTGCGCTGCAAGATGCTCGGCCGTGGACCTGGACTGATTTGGCACGATGACTTGAAATTTTATAGCCGACTTTCTCCTCAACATCTAGAAACCGAACCTACGCAAGATTAAATCGTCGACGAGCCAGTTGCATACGAGCTACGGGAGAATATGATAGTTAATCGGTGCTTGTTAAGTGATGTGGAGAGGCACCTTGAACCCTAGCTCCTCATTTTTAGAATACAGCAAGCGATGTAAAAGTCAAACTGCACACCTTTGCGAGCTGCTTGGCATACCGATATCAGTATCTTCGTCAGTTCTCTGGAGCGAAAAGAGTGTCTGCAAGAATAAAGGCCTGTACTGGGTGGCAGTGACCAATCCCATGAGCTTCTTTCAAAGCACTCCATCAACAGCGACAGTATCAGTATCCGCAATTGTTACTGTCTGTACATGACTTCGCAGCTCAGTAACACTGTCAAATGTTCTGTGTCCATCATATCTATTGATGACCCATGAGTAAGGGTCGACTTCGCCAGAAGTCGTTGCTGCTCCGACATGAGCCATTGATTTTCAACCCTGGATTCCTTGTTGCCAAACGCGAGAGAAGAAAAATCAGCGGCGACTCCATTTCGAGGTTTGGCATGAGCTCTTTAGTGGCCACACTCTGGACAGTGTACCACCCCTTTGTCGTAAGCGAGCTTACTGAGGTGCCTCTTTCGAAGTGGAAAATTTCGGGCGGAAATGATCAACTTGTATAGATCGTCACTAGCGTTGTCTTTCTGAAGCTGGCGCTGTTCTTATCCTCACATTTGCATGAAGCGTTTTTGTTTCGAGTCACAGCGTTAACATGCTTGCTGGGATCTGGCGCAAAACTAGTTGGCGAAACGGTATCGGCAAACTTTTATTTTCCTGCATTTCGATGCGATGCTCCGGCCACAACATTCGATTTCTGTATGGTTCGTAAAATTAACACAATCCTCATAAAGTACAATCCTTTGAACGAGATCCATACTGCATGAAGTCTTGTTAGCAGTCATTCGGCGATTTAACATCGGTTCGAACGATCAGCATGTCGCCACTTGTGTCAAGAAGTGATTAATTTTGCCTCTTGCTCCCTATTCCACAAATAATAGTTATTGACGTCGGTTGCACATTGGAGGCAGTAGACCTAACAATGGCCAGCTGGCGAAGTCCTGACACAGGGCTCCCAGGATGTGTAATTTCTCTAATTCACGAGCCCACACTTTTGCAAAGCGGTTTGCTTAAGTTTGGACGCATAAACTTGTGTGTTGTGGTAAGAATGGCTTGAGCTTAGTGCATTTCTTAAAATGAAATGACAAACGAGAACCCTAATGATGAGATCGGTTGGATGAATCGTTCCAAGTACACTTGTAGGACAGCAAAAAAAGGATAACCTAAAGTGCAGTGAAACGTCGGGAGGCTGTTTGATTTATCTGCCAGATAGGAACGAATTTTACGTCTTCAAATCTTGATATTTTTAGCTTGAGAGTATGAAGAAAACACTTAACACTCGGCCCGCGATATGTCCATTAATTTACAAGATACGCACGTTTACATAGAATATCACTTGTACCATATCATAGAGCTGCGCACGGAATATTCTTTAGGATGAACGCCACCCCTGCAAATATAGATGCAATTGGGGATGCAGTGTTAGAGTCCGCACCTTGTGGTTAAGACTGTGGTTGTGGGTACTAAATAGTGTTTCTGCGAATTCGCTGCGAAATAAATTTTGATATGATCGTCGTTGGCTTGAATGTCAGAAAAATCTGCATGGCGAAAACAATAGCCAAAGAAATTTAAGACCAGGACTTGGCTTTTTTTGCAAGAATTAAATTTACCTTAACAGTTTTATGCGAATACCATGGTGCAGGTATGTGTTTGGTTTATGTCTTGGATGCTAGTCCAGCCTTTGCGCTTTCTTCGCAGTGACCCAGCATGGTACTATTACTGCCATTCGCCTGCTTGTTTTGCGGTTGTCGGTACTGGTAGTCTTTAGACGAAGCGCTTTTGATTGTACCTTCTGATGACGTAGCATCAACGTAGCAAAATTTGTACATAGCGCAGAAAACATTTTGTTTTACAATTAAAGAATACATGCACAGCTACCTCAATGCTGCTGCTTCTTCCACAAGTAAAATCCATGATAAAATGGTTTGCTGGCTCTTACTTCAAAGCAGTCTGTCTCTACTACGTCCTTGTGATTTGAGTACCACTCAAACATCTGTTGACATCTGGTCCCATGCAGTGCCATGTTGGTGTTTCCACATCCTTGCTCTCTCGCTTCTCGTATAATGTCGTAGTAGTGTTTACACGTTTTAGAGCCGATAAAATCGACGTATCCTTCCCAAAATGTGTCGGAATTAGAGGTCCGCTCGCAAAGTACGTCGAGTTTGTGTCTTGAGTTCTTATACATTGTGAAGACATCGTGGCAATACATAGACAAAGTCGTTTGTGTCCACGGGCGGAGAGCGTTAAATGAGCACTCTGCAGCTGCTCGTGCCTCTGTAGCATGAAACAACTTGCAAGTGTTTTGCTGCTGCCAGGCCGAGTAGAACTTCAGAAATACCAACGCCTGAGTCATTTCCTTAGATTCTGGTGGGAATTCACGCATGCAAATCACTAGAGTTTTGTTGTGCTGATGGAATAGGCTGAAGCTCTCGGCGCACTTGGATGAATCATCCGCGATTGGCAATGTCGCCAGCCAAGGTCGAGCCTTTACTTGCGTGTTGCAATTTTGGGCGACAAAATCGCAAATACTCGCAAACTTTAAGCACATAGCGTTCGTTTGGTGGCGAAGGCTAGGGCTCGAATCTGAGGGTGGCAAATTTGCAGCAGCAACAGAGTGCGCGAGCGCAGACAAAACGTTGGTTGCTGTGAGCAGCAGGAGTAGAGGTCGATAAGATGCCATCTCGACTTTGTCAACGTGGACGTGATGTGATGAATGGATGATTACTGAAACTCCCTGATCTGCCAAATAATTTGTCAGAATAAGGACAAATCCGACATTTAGAGATTAATTTGTCAGAATAAAGACAAATCCGACATTGAGATTATGTTTTACGTATCATTTCTCCTGTTTTATATCATGAAAGAGTATGTCCGAACGTAGCCAACAAGCCACTGGTAAGGGTCCAAATTAAATATGAAATAGGCTTAATTCTGGACGCTATATTTGCAGGTCACACTTGCATTGTCTTGTTGTCATTTCAGTATATTTTTATTCATCAGTTGCATTATTTGACACCCGTTTCTTTTGGGGTTAGCTTCGATCTCCACAAAATTTTGTCAAAATCGTGGAGCATCTTGTTTCGCCGCAACATACCAGTGATATGTATTGAAATTTAAGTTCCAGTGTAACCTCGCCTAAGGTCTTGCGATCTTTGTTCTATTTATCATGTCGATCAGATCTCGCATCACATGCAGTATAGTAAATTGTGGCATGACAGTCAATTAATGCACCAGTATCGTCTCGCAATCGCTAGGTTTTACGAAGCCCTTAGAAAAAGTGCTTAAACATCTAACAGCAACCTTAGTCGATGCAAAACGAAGAGTAAAAAATGTGTTTGCAATGAAAAAAGCAATCAGGTTGAAACTGGCGCGAAGCAGCCCTACAGACTACTTCTGAGCGGCATACTTCAGACGGTCTGCCAGCGGAAGCAAGTTTTTTGTCAAGCGACCGGCGTTGTTCAACAAAAATCGCATAGGTGCATAATTCAATGCAGCTCTTTTTATCTTCGCTCGTAGGCAGATTGAATTACCGATTTGATTTGATGCTATAATTTTTTTTTGAATTTGTAGAATACATGCGGTATGTTAACCAGTAGAGAACACGTGCTTACTATACTATTATACTTGATTAGTTTTTCATAAAGAAGCAGATGTCGTCTTATTATGCGGTCAATTATTTCCATAACGGCATTACTAACTGCAAAAACGGTTTCTAAAGTATCTTACACAATCGCCAGATTGTACTCGTACTCTCTGTTGCTCAGGAGGCATGTGGACGGCAGAGGTGAGCTTCACCACAGCTCACTTTTTGTGACGGGCATAGGAAAGTCAACGCAGCGATGGTCTTCCCAACTTGCAGGGTTTGGCTGGTGAAGATCTTCCTGGTACTGGTATGTGTGGCGACCAATGTATGCATTTCGCAGGATGCAGCAGGGTCGAATTTTGCAGATCAGTTGTCCTCGTCGTTGCAGTCTTCATCGTCCGGTTCAGAAGTTGGCATCGTTCCGGCAACAACGTTAGCCCAAGAATCGGCTCAAAATTGGTTCATCGCCAATGTTTTTGACAATGAGACTCAGTTGGCAGTTGGTGTGGATTCCAATTTGAAAAACCTTTCCGATACCGATATTATTTGCAATGGTGCGCCATCTCTTCAGCGACTTTCTAGTGCAAAATCACCAAACTTTGGTTGTCCCGACATTTTCACGGCGATAGGTGCGTCTTGCCTTTGTTTAAGTGTTGGACAAAACGCTTCGGACACGTGGGAATTCCATGTTGCTAAATCAAGTTCAGGAGACAAGTTTCCAGTTTTGCTTACGGCGGTGAATGCCCTCCTAATCGATTCCATCAGGACATTGTTGGTCCCTCCAACTCTTAAAACATTGTAATTATCGTATATGTCATGGCTTAAAATCGTAAACTGCTTAACTTTTCAAACATTCAAATGTGGTTACAGGCGCATTTTCGGTGAAGGAATCGAGCCACAGAATATTCAATTTATACCAATGGATAGACGTGATCATGGATCAGTATTGCCTCTTGCTATCAGTAATGGTTCAATCTCAATTTCTACAGTGTGAGATTTGGTCATCCGCTTTACATTTACATAATTTGCTAAACATTTTTGCTAAAAGGGAAATTAAAAACATTAACATGTTTTCTATAACTATATCGGCGGCGTCTTTTTTGCCACCCTCGACAAAGAATCTGTACGTAAACTAAATGTGCTGCTGAAAAATCCCAGAAAACTCACAGTTCATTTTGTGCCTCAGAACGCTTCGCAATTGCAACTTGTTTGCATTTGGGCCTCGATTTTTTGATGGATTGACTCATTTGCAGCATTTGTACGCTTTATTTCGAAATTGCAAAGTTAAAAAGGCTCATAAGCTATCCTTTTTGCTGATTAGGGATCTCTCCTCTAACTCATTGACTGTGCCGTACGTTGGATCAACCACACAAAGCTCTTGCTCAAATCAGTTTTGCGCTGTCGAAACACTGTGAGTTGTTTGTTAATCGAACGTTGTGGTCTTCATTACTAAAGTTGTGTGTTGTATCGCAAGTAATCTCACGAACAACAGCCTGACTACGTTTCCGACAGCAGTACTAAACATTGACAGTTTACGGGAATTGTACGTATTCTTAAGCTCGCCATTGTGGCCAGTCTAATGAAACATGTGTTCAGGTATATTGCTCAAAACGATATAACCGACTTCAAAATCAGCATGACGACTTTTAACGCCATCAAAAGTTTAAGAGCCTTTGAGTCCGATTTGCCGGATATATCTGCGACATGCCCTGACGGCACATGGCAGACAGCACATAGATCTAACTTCTGCGTCACCAATACCACTATCGCGGAATCAAGTATTATGCTTATGCCAACGCACTAAGTTAGACATCTCACTGACACTTTGTTCTTTGTGCAGTAGAATCAAGTCCATCCTCATGGAATCAATGCACCACGTACGTCGTGGTCATTGCTGGCTGCTTAATTTCAGCCCTTATCGTTTTGCTCTTCCGACAACGAAATCACTCACGTCCTCGTACGCCTTCATCCGTGTCTTTACCTGCGGCCTACTACCTCTCTCAAAGTGGAAACAATACAATAAATATCCAAACATCTGACACTAACAGTATCGAAACTTTGCTGAAAGACCCTCTGATTATCAACAACCGACTTAACTTCTCGGAAATTACGCTACGTAAGTGCCTCAGCAGAGGCGGCTTTGGTCTGGTGTTTTTGGGTGAGTTCAAAGGTCGTCAAGTGGCAGTGAAAAAAATTCGTCCTGATCGTAGTAACGATCCCCAAGATCTCAAAGCGTTTCTTAGAGAGATAATTTTGATGGCTAGACTTTCACATCCGCGCATCGTTGAGTACATCGGCGTGGCGTGGGATCGACTGCAGCAAATTTCCGCTGTGACTGAGTACATGGAGAGTGGTGACTTGAGGCACGTATTACGCACTTATCAGCGTCAAGGCAATCCATTGACTTGGACGACTTCAAAGATTTCAATTGCACTACATATCGCAGAGGCACTTCAGTACTTACACTCACACACTCCAAAGGTGATTCATCGCGATTTAAAGTCTAAAAATGTGCTTATCAACATGCATTTGGAGGCAAAGTTGACTGATTTTGGCGTTGCGCGCATGCAAAGCCACGCCATGACTGCAGGAATTGGTACGTCATTTTGGATTGCACCCGAAGTCCTTTTGGGTCGAGAGTATGATGAACAGGCCGATATTTATTCGTTTGGTGTTGTCTTGTCTGAGATTGACACGAACGATTATCCATTCTGGAATGATGCTAACTGCAACAGCCCACGGGGTAAACTACAAGAGGCAGATATACTCCGGCAGGTTGTAACAGGCAACAAACGGCCACAATTTTCTCCTGATTGTCCTGATGGCATTTTGTCGATCGCAACGGTATGCCTGCAGGAAAACCCCAAAGATAGACCGAATGCTTTGGCTGTCGTAGCGGCGCTACAGCAACTTCTCCGCCCAAGCTTACATTCTGATTCACTACGTTGAAGTGTACCTGCTTGATTGTCGCGCCTGTCCCATACCTTTGCTTAGAAACCAAATTTTGCCGTATCAAATAAGTGTATTATAGTAGTAATGTATCGTACCTATCAAGTCCGCTTTTGAGTTTTGTAAGTTAAGTTGGGACATTTTAACTGGCAAATTTTGTGACAACAACTATGTCCCTCGAACCAAAGAATGCTGCAATGATGAAAAATCATCATAAGCACTGGTACATATGAGAAGGATGGCATACATGGGCTGCTAGCCTCGCGCTATTCAATACATAGTTTCGGAATAGAAAGCAACGAAAAATCTTGATAATTGAAATACTATCAAGATTTTTCTTGATAGTATTTCAATTATCAAGATTTTTACACTCCCATCCTTTCAGCGTTTGTCAACGCCGACTCATATAATGGACTCCATTAGCCATTACATGAAGGTACTGTATGCATTGTGGGAATTGATAAAAGAAGATCACAGGTGGTGTTCCCGAAACATCTTATATAAAATATAAGCAACATGCTGTGTTATAAAGAATGCTGGTTCCTACTTGGGGATCTGTACTGGTGCGAGACGTGGAGCAGGCGAATGCATCGCTACAGGCAACGGTGTAGCGCTTGGCACCATTGGAGATGAAGGTTGTTGCACTCCGTGCTCAGAACCAGCTGCTGGTTCAGCTTCTGGGTGGCCGCGGGCT